GTCAATGTTCCTCCTTCTAAAGGGCCACATCTTGTTCTGCTATCTGTTCCTGACCCTTCGGCAACGTGAGAGTATCTTCCATCAACGACTTTGAGGCAGCCTAGACTGCGTGCCTTTTGGCAGTAGCCAGCTGGGGTCGGGGAGGGATCACCTAGTTGATCGTGACAGAGCTTCTGCTAGTAAAATCTAATTTGGACCTCATATATAATTTTCTTACCTTTCTGCAGTGGTACCATATCACGTCCAGACCCAGCCTTGAGAGATGCGAGACCCCTCACTACGCCTATCAACCTCTAATCTGCTATTATCGCCTGGAAAGAACGAGATTGGTCCTCATTTCTTGTGACTTTAGTAGACGGAATGTCAACCATAGGAGCCACCAGTGCTAGATGCTTCTGGAGAGCCCCGGGCCATCGAAACTCTCTCGTCGCAGGCTACATGCCTTAGCTCCGCAGAAAACCAATTAGATGGGTCGAAAACAACGAAAGCCAGAGCCAGCATCTGCTTTATACTTGAGAAACAAATGCCTTCTATGCCAAAGTGGCAAGACTAGCCCTTGGAAGAAAGTGGAAGTGGAAAGCGAAAAGAGTCCCATTACCTTTCTTAAATGGCAATTGCGACAGATCCTAGCACCCTTGTCAGATGCTGTCTGCTGTCCAGCTTGAACTAGCCCACGTCCAGACTTGTGATATCCATCCTTCTCGACCAAAGTCCCTTTAAAGACCGTAGTCAGTCCCAGAATGATCTCTTAAATCTCAACGAAGGGGGCACACCTGAACCGGGTCATTCTCGGCTCTTGCCATCTCATAGGTCTTACATGCCGCAATGCCGTATTCCCTCATCAATACTGCACGTCCCGTAAAATGCATGCAACTCTCACCACCTAATCAAATGCTACATAAAACGGGCGCTAAGCTGCCGGTAGCGGGGCCGACATAATACGATATCGAATGACACAAGAGCTATTTCCATCACATTTTAGACCTTGTGGACGAATGTTAAAAAACCCCGGTAGATCGACATCTTCGAGGCCGCCATAGGTAACTGCGGTACGACGTGGTGCTGACACCTCCATATAAGCGTGACAATCACGACCGAACTCCGTAAACTTTGGAGTATACGGCAAAAGTGTGAAAATGATACAAAATACCCTTCTTCTCTCGCGAGACCGCGACTTTCAGGTGGTGAAAATCCAAGATCCCGACGTAGAACAGCTCAACATCCAGCGACGTCAGGAGACAAACCGCCCAACATGGCCATCCCAAACCTCACATCCCTCGACCTCTCCCCCCTCCAATATACCGCCCTCGTCCTCGCCCTCCTAACTCTCTACTACACCCTCACCTCCCTCCTCACATGGCACCGCCTCCGCCACATCCCAGCCTACTCCCCCTTATCCACCTTCTCCTACCTCCCACTCTTCCTCATCGCCCGCTCCGCCCGCCAAGAAGAAATCTACCGCACCCTCAACACCTCCCGCCTCGTCCGCGTCGGCCCCAACGAGCTCCTCACAGACGACCCCGCCGTCCTCCGCCGCATCAACGCCGTCCGCAGCGACTACGGCAAAGACTCGTGGTACTTCTCCAGCCGGTTCAACCCCTACCAGGAGACCATGTTCACCACGCTCGACAAAGGGGAACATGATCGGATGAAGGCCAAGACGGCGGCGGCGTATGCGGGGCGGGAGGTGGATTTGCTGGAGCCGAGCGTCGATGTGCAGGTTGTGAGTTTGGTCAGGCTTTTGAGGGAGAGGTATGCGTATGATGGGGGTGTCAGCGGCGGTGGTGATGGGGGACGAGGAGGAAGAGGAAAGTTGGTGGACATGGGAGTCTTGCCGGCGTATCTTACCATGGATGTGATCACCGCCGCCGCGTTCGGGAAGCCGTTTGGGCACTTGGAGGCTGATGCGGATGTGTTTGGGTTTATCAAGCAGATGAGGGATAATTGGCCGTTGATTGCGATCACGTTGGATACCCCGTGGATCCGGACGATTCGGTTTTCAAAGTTGTTTCTGAGGTGGCTTGGGCCAAGGACGACTGATGAGATTGGGCTTGGGCAGATGATGGGGTGAGTATCGTCTTTCATCGCGGAAGCCGTTCGTACTATAGGAGTTGCGACTAACGGGGTGATAGGATTGCTGAGAAGTACGTCGGAGAGAGGTTCAAATCCACCTCGAAGCCTCAGAAGGACATGTTGGTACGTCCATCTACATTTTACGAACTCTGCTTTTTGCCCTGGGAGATGGTACTGACGAATTCGACCAGGGATCGTGGATCAAGAACGGCATGACGCAGCAAGAATGCGAAGCCGAAGGCCTCTTCGCCCTCGTCGCCGGCTCGGACACTACCGCCTCCGTGATCCGTGTCACAATGCTGCATCTGATGTGCAACCCCAGGATCTACCACAAATTCAAGGCCGTCATTCGGGACGCCGTCGCCTCTGGTGTCTCGACTCCGATTACCTTTGACCAAGCCAGCAAGATCCCGTTCCTACGCGTGCGTATCACCCCCTATCCCCCCTTCCCCTCCCCCATCCAACATGCGATACATACTTAGTACATGACGATACTAAAACCTTACAGGCCCTAATCTACGAAGGCATCCGAATCCGCGCCCCAGCAACAGGCCTCTACCCCAAAACCGTCCCGCCCCAAGGCGACACCGTCGACGGCAAGTTCATCCCGGGCGGCACCGCCATCGGCATGAACGCTCCCGGCCTCCTCAAATCCCCCTTGCTCTTCGGCCCCGACGCGGAACTCTTCCGGCCGGAGCGGTTCCTCGAGGTCGACGACGACGCGGCCAGGCTGAGCATGGAGCGCGACGTGGAGATGGCGTTTGGGTACGGGCGGTATATGTGTGCGGGTAAACCGGTGGCGTTTATGGAGCTGTATAAGGCTTTCTTCGAGGTAAGTTCACAGTGACTAGACTAGGGCTGTCATCGACTAGGGATACGAAATGCTGACGTTTGCGCGGTCAGCTTATGCGCAACTTTGATTTTGAGCTTGCGGATCCGGTGAGGCCGTGGGATTCGTATAGTTATAACATCTTTGTGGAGGAGAACATGTGGACCAAGGTGACCATTTCGGAAATCAAGTAGGAGTTTATCGCTGCGTACGTCGTTTGACGGATGAGAGTTGCATTCCCTCTTAGACACTCGGTTTGATCATCGATTTTCCCTTCTCCTAGAACGTAACAAGCGAGAGGCAACAGTTCGATGTGCTTAGTAGGCCTAGTTCTGGTAGCCATTGACGAGTCTCCAGAATAGATGAATCTGGATACGTTCCGTCGTAACTCCATACCGAGATGTTCTGGTTCAAATTGCTCAACCAATAGAAATGGTGCCTGAATTTGACTTTCAATGGACAGCCTCGCCTGTGCCATCAACCTGCATAAAGCTTGTGAATGTCGACTATCCACATATATGTGTTTGCTGGTCTAACCAAGAGCATGAAGATTCAGGTGATCCAAAATAGCAAGCCCGGCCCGCGTGGTCGGGACTGAACTCGCTCCTTCGGATCTTCACGTCCCTACTTCCTTCCTTCCTTGACCTACCTTACCTCAGGCACCCGATGGTATAGTCCCCCCTCAATCCCATTCCCGTAACCAGCACAGCAGCGCCCGTCTAGGTCGGCGAGGTCAGGTCAAGCTGTGTGCAAGGTGGTCGAATGGTCAAAATAAGAACAAATACTCCTATGAAGTCAGATCTCGGGTTGACTGAGGGGCGCGCTGTTCAATTCCGGACAGGGCGTGTATTATATGGTCAGTATTTCCCTCCCCTTCCTATCCCTTTCTGTTTTCCTTCTTCTTTTTATACTAAGCAATAACATACTCCGGTGAGCACCCATAAATGCACATACATACGCACTCAGATCCAGACTCTGGCCCGAAACATCGCTTTCGATAATCATTCTTCGAGAAAGAGCCTCAAACTGCTTCCCCATCAAAGAATCATCCAATCTAGCGTGCCACATGACCGAAATAGGCCATAGCATCGATGACGAACATGAACTCATGGCATGGATCGTCAACGAGGCGCAATAAGGTTCTGACAGAGCGCCCACTCCCGTGCGCCGCGCGCACGTTATGATGCAGGTCTTTCGCGTAGCACGAAATTGCCTATGCGGGGAACAAGCTGACAGAGGAGGGCGAAAACGTACAGATGCCTGGAACCAATTAGCGCCCATATTGCGCATTAGCAGGGCAGCAAAGAGCCCCGTGGAGGGCTTCAGCTTCCCTACGATTCCCAGTTTGGGACTTGGGAAGTTGGGAATGGGAGCAATAGGTCGAACCACACGGGACCGCGCGACGCCGGTGCACCCCACGTTGGGTTTCGGGTCGCCCCGGACGAAAGTCTACGTGCCGAACGGTAGCTTCAGGCCCCGCCCTCTCCTCAGCGGGTTCAAATTGGAGCAGCAGCGGTGCCGGGATTCTCTAGTATGGGGGCCACTTGTTAAACGCCCACATAACTCGGTTAGAATACGAATAAGAGATATCCAGATTCGGAACTTTTGAAAGCCCCGAAGCCTTTCTGTGCCGTTGCGAAACAATTGGTTGGCTAAGGACATCTTTCTCAAGATGCTGACCGCTGACTCTCTCGATCTTCGTGCATCTGATGGGGGGCATCGGCTGCTGCGAACTCCAGCTCCGAGGAGTTCAGACTGAACCCGGGTACTGCAAAATGGCATTTCGGCGCAAGGACCGGCGAGGTGGGGAAGCCCTGGGACTTCCATGAGAAAAGCGTTTAGCGCATTGATCGGCTCGAATTTCAGATGCGACGGGCAAGGAGCGCGTCTTGAAAAGGGAATCTGGCACAAAAAGCCTCCCAGCTCCCCCCTCCTTTAGCGTTGCGTCATGGAAAAACAAGCTTCCTTCTCCAACTGCACCTAAAATCGTTATCTGTGTAGTTCAGAGAGTTGCAGCGCGCCGACTTCACAGTAGCAGTCGTTCGACACGGGAGCTCCGAATCCTAGGACGGAGGGAAACTGGTGGATATTGATCAACATGGTGCTGGAATCTTGGACGGCGAGGGTCGCCTTCGGCTTCCTGGCGGCTTTGCTGGCATATTTTTGGAAGATCAACCGTGCCATGTCAACGATCCATCCTGAGGCTCTGCGGGTGTCGCCGGATCGATGGACGCCAGAGAAACTCAAGCGTACCTTTGAGCGTATGGAGAAACAGCCCGTTGACTGGACTCCGCACTTACCGCCGAAATTGGATCGTCGATACATCATTGTTGGAGGCTCTGGCAAGTATTCTGCGAAAACCGTCACGTATCGCTACTGACCATGGTATGGAATAGGCCTGGTAGGAGGGCAGCTGGCTATTCAGCTCATTGCGCGCGGCCATCCGCCAGAGGCTATTCGAATCATTGACTTCCGTAAGCCTGGCCGCGACGACATGAGTGAGGGTCCGATATCTAGAGTTGATTTTGCTCAAGCCGACATTTCTTCTGAATCAGCAACCTCTGCCGCATTTGGTAGATCGTGGCCACAGTCGGTAGCACATCTTCCATTGACCGTATTCCATACCGCCGCAGTCATTCGTCCCTCAGAGCGTAGCCAGCTGGTCTACGAACGTTGCTCCCTCGTCAACACTAGGGGAACCGCCCATGTTCTTGCCGCAGCTAAGACTTCGGGAGCAGATGTTCTCGTCTTTACCTCGTCTTGTAGTGTGGCCTTGAAACCTACTAAATTCTTCAACGCTCCGTGGAGTCGGTGGCCGACGAACTTCTTCCAGGTCCTTGATGAAGTAGACTTCAAGAAGCCGATGCGTCCTCACGAAGAGTTCTTCGCCAACTATGCCAGAAGCAAGGCCGAAGCCGAGCGACTCGTCTGCAGCGCGAACAAGGTGCCACAAGATCCCACGCAGGCAGGGGGCTTTCGCACCGGCGCCATCCGGCCAGGAAATGCCATTTACGGCCACAAGGACGATTATCTGGTTGGAGCGACAGTACGCATGGCCAGTTTCCCTACCTTCACAGCGCCCTTTATGCAGAACTGGGTCCATGGGGCCAACGTGGCTCTGGCACATCTGCAGTACGAAGCAGCCCTGCTCGGCCCTCACGCGCACAAAGTGGCTGCCCGCCCATTCCTTGTCACAGATGGAGGACCGCCTCCGGTTTTCAAGGACTTTTACACACTCGTGCAGTCGGTTAGCGTGACACCCTTTCACGTGCAATATCCGCCGCCACTGATTTTGCTGCTCTTGGCTCATTGCATAGAGGCCTATTGCTTGTTGCTTTGGAAGGTGCCAGCGTTGCAGAATATCTTCTCGGAACCCGGATTGCCGTTGTACATGCTGCAGCCCGCTTCCGTGGCAGGTGCCATCAATGCTATTATCAACGATGCCGACGCTCGACGACGACCAGAGGAGGGCGGATTGGGATACCAGGCCAAGTGTACGACCATGGAGGGACTGTGTATGCAGCTCGGCGCATGGAATAAGTGGGTGAAGAGCGGAGGCGAGAAAGTCAGAAGCGAGAAGGGCATCGTCAAGGATGTTCTTGAAGTTGGAGTCGAGCCTGTTGCGAGGCGAGCATGAGGTCACAAACTTCAGCCGGCGGTCGACTGCTGGAGACCCCTTTTGGTGCATGTCGAAGGAATTCAGATTTCATCTTCGGCGGCGAATCCAAGAGAGTGGAGTATCCAGGTTTTGCTGGCGCCGTACAAAGGAAAAAGTTGTAGCTCTTGAAGAATTATGCAGCTTCCCGTCATCGGCAATAGCTTGGCAGTGTCTTGATCCAAGCTTCGGGTGTTGACCATGTAAGTGGCACACGCTTGTCGACAGGATGACAGGTGACGTCTTGACACGGCACGGAGATCCGGAACCTGGATCCTCGTCCGGCCCCCACAACCCCGGCTTGCCAAGTTGGCGGCGCTGGGGGGCAGCTGCATGGCGCTCCGAAAATCACTTCTTGGGGTTCTTATGATGGGAATCCCGTAAATCCCATGCTTAGGCATAACATCGTTCTTCGATTAAGTCCGTTAAAAGCTTCAACGCACGCTAGGAGGGCCTCCCTCAGAAGCCGATCCATTGACTTTCTAGACGGAGGAAAACATTACTGAGGCAGCTCAACAAGCCAAGCCACTCAACAGAAGATGAAGCCATAGACTGAGGGCTGGCGGCAAAGACGCTGGCTGGGCGATGCGTTCGTAAGCTTGGTGGCGGGGTCGTGCCAGCGGGTACAGACAAGCAAAGTTCGTATCGGCAGCCTCTTGCAGGTCTAGGCCAACTTTGCGAGTAGTTTCTGGCGACGCCTCAAGAAATGCGCAAACTTGGTTCGCGGGTGGCTGGCGAAGGACGGGAGGGTGTGATGAGATGGATGCAGCTGGACGAGGCGGAGAATCTGCATGGCCGAACAGACGCTGCAGATGGTCCGATGTAAGTGACGGTTGGCTGGTCATAGCCGGTGCGACAGACACATGCAGAATGTTTGCGGTTGGCTGGAAGACAATACCTATGGTACTGGCCATGAGTGAATCACCAATGTACTCTGAATTGAACAAGAGACCGTTTCTGCTGCCCAACTGTCGCCTGTTGGAAACTGGAACATATCGAAAGCGGATGAACGTTGCCGTGAGAGACAATACCTAGTCGACTTTTGCATCCGATAGCAAGCTCTGCTTCAGGCGGGTTGGTAGCAGCCCCTCCTGCATACCGGTACCCCAGGCGTTTGGTGCAGATGGCTAGTGTAGATAACTAGTGTCACTGTTGATGACGATCACTAGAAAGCTGGGCAAGCAATTGACTGCAATGATTGGCCAGCGAGCTCGTGGTAGCTCAGCGCCCAGGATTGTGAGAGGTAGCTCACCATGGTCTGCCAGTGCCACAGGTGCCAGGTGTTACTTCGGGTTAGTGCTACTGCAAGAGCGTGCGTGGACTGGCCGCGTTGCCGATTTGAGAGACTCATTGTCTTTTTCATCCGCCCAAAATCGACATTGGAGTTGGCGAGGCGGCCTCTTTGTGCCGTGATTGTTGGCTGGCGTCCAACGGCGTTGGAGCTTTGGGCGCGAACATCCGCATGCGCCGGGCTGCTCCATAGGTTGCTCCACGAAAAGAAAAAAAAAAAAAAAAAAGAACCGTTGCAGCAGGCATTTGTAAGGCCAGCAGGACAGGGTTTCTCGATATGGGGCCGGGCTCAACCGGACACTAAGGTGAGTGCTCTGTGGAGAGGTTCAGGTGGTTGATCATGATGCTGAGATGTTGGCTTGTGAAGGCTCATGGCGTCTGCTGTACCACCATTCGATACTTTGCGTCTGTTCACAGGGGAAAAGGGGGTGTTTGGAAGGTAAGGAGGTTCGCAAACAGAAACAGAACATGGTACAAGAGTGAGGCAGGGAATCAGTGAACAGGGCGGCAATTCAGCGACGCCAAGAAGAGGGCGACGCGATGCGATGTGAGAAGGGGCGGGTAAAGGCCAGGTTCGTTTCGGAAGATGAGACGTCTTTTTGGTACACCATCATAGCTGCCACTTTGGTGAATTGGCGATTGACGATGCAATCCGTGTAATCGAGAGTGGTCTCTAGAGATGCCGCCGGGAAATATTCCACGTCTGCCGGCAATGAAAGAACCATCGGGAAATCAATGAATCTGAGGCATCGGTACTCCGTAGGTTGTGCAGTGGATGACAGTGACGGGGAGAAGCCAGAGACCGAGGGCGAAGAAGAAGCAGCAAATGGGACGGCGCCCGGAGCAAAGTGCGTTGCGTTGAATTGATTGGCAATAGATACCCTTGCCCCCACACAAGAATGGAGATGGAACTTGCGAGTCTCCCGGACCACGGCAACAGCCAAGCTGCATATCTGTGGCTAGTGTTCCTGCCGTTCTAACACCGTTTGGGACTGGTGTTGTTTCTGTAGACCGAGGAGCGGAGGAACTCTCGAGGAAGTTGAGGGAAAGAACACCAGACCTCAGTCACGATTCGTACCTGGTCAAGTACCTAGTAATAGAGGAGCGGAAGGTGGACCTGTGTTGGGTAACGTTAGACCGAGATGAAAAGCCCGGGCCCTGCGAAATCTGAAATCTGAAGGAGACGCCGGCGGAGGGAGGGGGGGGGGGGGCAATTTTTTCCCTCTGTGCTCTCGCTATCTCATTTTGCTTCTCTCTGTTTTGTTATGAGACAGGCACCGCAAGGAATGCGACTGTAATAGCACTTGGCGCTGCGACCATCGCCTGGTCAATGGAATCTCGCGTGCGGCGTGCCATGCCTGTCCTGTCGCGACTGACAGTAGCCGTTCCCATTACTTTCCTTAGTCAGGCAGCATCTCTCACTGAACTGTAATGAGAGACTGACCTAGCCAAAGGTTCGGCGGGAAGAATTATGTTGTTCCCGGTGAATCCTGGAGTGTGCATGTATGAGTGAACACTCAGCCTAGCCGGTGGCATGGCATAAGCCGCGGTGGCACAGGCAAACTACCGGGCCATGTCTGTATTAATTATGGAATGAAAGCGGAAAAGATGCGACGACGCCGATGAGGCCATCACGAGGGTCGCTGAAAGTTTCAGTCTCCAAAGTCTGAGGCGACAGGGACCAGGTGCCACTGACAGGGCAGCCCTATGCCTGCTTAGCTACGCAGTACCCCCCTCATATGAGCATCCACCGTTGCGGCACTTGACAATTGACGATGTTATTGTGAGATTGGGATCAAGTGTATCAGAAATTGCGCTGTGGGAAGTAGAAGAAGAATTAAACCACCACCACTTTGCGGGATGGCGCTGTCTTAGCTTCTGCTCGAGAAGATGCACTTTGATTATCTGCACAGCGAAGATACGTAGGTACACATCCAATTCCCGCCATGCGCAACCTTGTAGCGTTCCTATCTTGATTAAGGCCATATGCGGTACGTACCTCCCCGGCCAGTCGGTCGAGGACCCGCCCCTGCCGATAACAGCAAAGCCGCGGACTGTCTGTGCGAATTCGCTGACGCTCACGCACGCTCTCGGTGACGATGTCGCTTCTCAGTTCTGACCTCATCACGAGAATTCCATCGTGATTCAACCCGAGTCCGCAACAGCAACCTCGATTGGACTTTGCTCGACGGAGATACGGCGGCTGCACTGGAGGATGTGCATATGTTCCTGGTTGGGTTTCCCCTCTCCCCCACTGTGACCCGACATTTGCGATGGGTGGACCCCAGCCACACGTCTGTATCCGCCAGTACGTACCCGTCTTTGCAGGCCTTCCAGTTTGTGTGAGGGAAGAACGGGCCAAGCCCGGCGACTTGCGACTGTCATGTAAGTGGTACCCTTGTATTGTGCCCAACACGGACGCGCCGGTGCAATTGCTGCTGGGCGGACGTGGGCATCGTGTCCCTACCTTAGTGGAAAGAGAAGGGAAAGCGAGGGCAAGGCCGCACGTGTGAGGTCGGGTAGGTAGGTGCTAAGAGAGGGAAAAATGTGTGAGAGAGAGACCGGGAGAGAGAAAAAAAAGACGCGGTCGGCCGGACAGGTACCGCGCAATCAAACCATGCGTTGCCTGTCTTTCTGATGATCGCAAGAGGGAAGGTGCGGTTTCTGCTGTTCCACCAGCCACCCTTGTAACTGTCCACTGGCACCTGCACTCATACCTGGACTCCTCACACTTTTTTCCCGCTCCCCCCATTGAGCTTACCGCATTCAAGGCAAGTGCGACCAGAGAGACAAGCGTGGGAAAGAACCACTCACACACACCCCGAGGTACCTGCCGCTCTTGTTGCTGTTGCTGCTGTTGCTGCACTCTTGCCTCATAATAAAACCACATCGTTGCCCGCGTCGCCCATCTGTTTAGACCTCACCTCTTCTCTTTTCCCCGTCCACACTCCGTCAAACATCACCAGCAAGCACATCCAGGCAAAACATCTTCACCCCGCCGACGATACTTTGGAACTGAATATCGCTTGATTGATTGTCAGACGTTCTCTCCCGTCTCCATTCAACAACTTCAACCAACCACAATTTCCACTACCTCTACACATCACCAACAGACAACATGCGTACTTCCCTCGCCATCGTGGCCCTCTCGGCCCTCACTGCCGTCTCTGCCCAGCGCAAGGTCTACACTGCTGCCGATATCAACGTTGCTACTGTCTCCGTGAACCAGAGAGGTAAGTCAACCGGGAGAATCATGCCATCATCTTCGGCAATCCGGCTTTGCCGTATGATTACAGCCACTGAGCATTGACTAATTCTTTTTCCCTTCCACAGCCAGCTGGTGTGTCGCCGAGCGCAACACTTGCAAGGTCCTTTGCGAGCCTAACCCCACCACCAACGACTGCGATTCTGTAAGTTCTCCTCTTTTTTCCTATGCTAGACCAGGAGCACTAGTTGCTTGTTGATCACCCCGGCCCGAATTCAAAGAGGCCGACGCTCGTGGGCAGCATGGCTAACTCTTACTCAATAGACCACCCTTGTCTACTCTTGCCTCTGCCCCAACGGCTCTGCCCCCGGCCTTGAGTACTACGAGCAGACCATGCCCACCTTCATCTGCGAGAAGGCCTTCGAGGACTGCGTCACAGCCAACGTTGGTGACGCTCGCGGCCAGACCAACTGCACCGACACCATCAAGTCCCAGTGCGGTACCATTAACGCCCAGGCCGACCAGGCTTCTGGTGTTTCCACCACCACCACCGCCTCTGCTACCAGCACTCCCACCGGAACTAATACCGCCGCTACTACTCCCGCCGCCTCCAGCTCCAGCTCGTCCGCCTGGGCTGTTCCTACTGCGAACCCCGCCCATGTCGGCAACGCTGCTGCTGTCGCTGCCATTGGTCTCCTCGCCTATATGCTTTAGATTGATTCTGCAATCTATTAGACTGTGGTAAACTGCGAGCCGCGATTGCTTCGTGCGGCGACATGATTGACAATCGCGGGCTTTGAGCGGTATTTCGCTTCTCTGTAATCACCTTCCCTACTACCCGGTCTGCGTGCTTACCACGCGGCTCCCTAATCTTTTTTGACGAGGAATACGTGGAATTATGCGATGGAGACGATGGATATTCCCACCCGTATGGCATTTTGAAGTTCTAGGAGGAGTCAGTGCGTTACAGGGACGGGTGATGTCACCCCATGTTGCTTTTGCTCTGCATTTCGCGTTTTAGGCATGATTGAAAGACAGTCCAGACGACGTCAAAAGAAATGAAGAATTGATTCCCCCCAATTCCCTGTCCCCTCTGCTTTGAGCGTTGACTACCGGCCTATCACCATTATGGCCGACCATCATGGCCGACAATGGGCTTGTGACAGTCTCCCATTGGCCTTCTTTGAGGTATGCCGCATCGTCCCAAGCTTGCAAATCTTCACTAACACATGCCTTTGTCAACGCCAATAGGAAAGGTCCTGAAAGCGGTCAAACATCCCTTGTCCCCATTGTTTTATCAGCTTTCTGTTCCACGGAACTGCTAAAGACAATTCCTTTTGTCTCTATATCGGAATGGTTTCATAGTGAATACTGCTATTGAGGGAAACTACGATATATATTCCAACTTACTGCCGCCTGTATGACAGCAGTTCAGCTCTTCGCAACACATACCTACCTCATATCATTCATTCGTCCCAATTTGCATCATTGACTGATCGCACCCACAAGCACAACATTGTACATTTCACCAACTGACTTCACAAGATACACCCAAGTCCACCATGACCAAACGCCAAACACAAACCACACCTCCGCGAGTGTCATTTGGCGTAGAACTCGAGTTCTTCGTTGCCTTCGTGCGCGAGGGGGAAACAGACCCCGACCATGCCATCAGGCATGAACTACAGCCTCTTGTCGTAGTTCCCCCGGATGATGGGATCGATAAGCACGGCCTTCCGCATACGGCGTACGATTGGGACGAGGACTTTGTGTTCCACAGCATTGGTGACGCCTTAGCTAAAGCTGGGTTGCCGGTTTATGGCCAGGGTCAATGCGGTGTGTCCGGCTCTGTGCAGAGCAGGCAGAGTAAAAAGGCCATTGACGCGTTCCAGCTAAAGACAGACATCTCTCTCAAGGCTGACCACGTCGACGGGTACCGCTGGCAGCGCGTCGAAATGATATCACCGGCTATGTACAACATGAATATGTCTTTTGACATGGTTCGTCTGGCGGTAAGTGTAATCACTACTAACTTCCGATGCCGAGTGAATCCTAGCTGTGGATTCCACGTTCATGTGGGTGTAGGACCGACGCAAAGAATCGACGCAAGAACTTTACGGCATTTCGCTGCCCTCTTATGGGCTGCCGACCCTCTTATTAGTCGACTTCATCCTCCTTGGCGCGCTACCCTCGCCTACAGCCAGTCTGCTCGAGTGAACGAAGCTACACCGCTGGGACAGGGCAAAGGCCCTGCAGGTGCGACTATTGACAAAGACATTGCCCCACGGGATTTGAAGAAGATGAAAGTTCTGGGAAGAGACCGCTGGCTTGGCGATTCAGTTGAGGTGGACACGACCTCAGAGACGATGATTCGCGAGTTGAACTTAGATCAAGAAGACGATGAGGCCCTTCTGACAGGCTACGAACCATGGCAGCATCGACCGGCCATTCCCGAAGTCAGGGACCCAAAGAGTTCCGAAGCTCGCTCAACCTCGCCATTTGGGTTTCCTCCACTTAGATACGAAGCTCCTGTACCAATGCCGAAGAACTACCGCAGCTCGGCAACCAAGGGCGTAATCCCACCACGGCCTCGACCTCCCCCAATCAAGAGACGCTACGCTCGTGTTCCCGGAACCATGCGAAAAGATATCCGCGGAGATCCCGACTTCTTGGACGGGTACATCCTAGGCCAAGGAGGAAGTATCGGATGTGTGGAAGTCAACCAGCCGTCTCGATGGGACGTCATGTCTGGCGTCAGGGATCTCCTCGGTGCTGACATGACGGTCGCACAGGTTGGGCAGTTGATGACGCCTGCCTTTCTCCCCAAGCATATCAACTACAAGTTCAAAGCCTATGATTTCTACTCTCTCGAACATCTCGCCCCGCAGGATGGAAACGGCACACGGACGACGTACCCCACAAAAGACCATACGATTGAGTTCCGCGAGGCGGCGGGCTCTTTGGATGTGGAGTGGATTGCGACCTGGGCTCGCATCTGCTGTCGCCTACTCGAATGGAGCCGTGATGCCGAGCCGACGGAGTTTATGTGTGTGATGCGGCTGCTGGCGTGGGCCCAGGAAGAGGAGGGCGCTCAGTACGACGTGGTTGACTTGTTGATCGATCTGGGCCTGATCACCGAAGCGAGATTCTGCGAGGACAGGTTACAGCAGGGGGAGGCTGCGTGGTGGGAGTGCGCCAATCTTGGCGCTCTCGAAGGGTCTGAGAATGCTTTTGGAGACGGGATGGGATACCCGGTGCCTGGATTCGACGACTACGAGATGCCTGATGTAGAGAGTGGCGGTGGGCATCGGTACCCCGGAGTCGCGTTCGGGGGCTGGGACGATGCTCACGGTGGTGAGTATAGGTGCGGAGAGGTTTGGGATTCGTCGAGTGGCAGTGATGCTTTCGAGCTCGAGTGCAAGGCACCTGAGGCTGGCGAGAAGACCGAGACAACTACACCCGACACATTTGCGAAGGTAGCCGGAGATATGCCTACGGCCGGTGAGACATACCCGGAATACACATCGGAGGAGAAGGCAGGTGGTGAAGTGGATGAGCAAGGTGAGTCTGCGGCGCGGGCGTCGTAGTTCGAGTATCAGCACAGCTCGCCCTAGAATTACGATTGAGTGAGAGGGGTGTGAGAGACTGATTGAAAGGCAGGTGTTGCCGATGTCTTAGATACGTCGTCGGAGTATGCTTGGGTTGAACATGATGAATACTCTCGCGAGAGGAAGCGGGCTGAGTCAGAGGATGGCTTTGAGATTGTGGAACGCGAGAATTAAGGCATAAGTCCTTAGTGGGTAAGTTAGTGGGAAGTTATTGAGTAGACAAAATATGATTCTCGTCAGGAACAAAGCTATTGAGTGTTTGAATATAATCAAGACGACTTGGCCTGATGTGAGATTGTGTTGTTTGACTAATAAGGTTTGGTCGAGCTGGGGATGTTGCATCTGAGTCTCGGTTCCTTTATACAGCCTCCTGCTAACATGTTGTCTTTTTTTCCCCCCTACTTCAATGTAGAAGACGGGATAATGGATATGGCTGCAACAGGACGGAGGTACACGAATACCATTTCCAGAATTTGATTCAGGATAGCCGAAGATAGTGAATTTTGAATGGAAATCTCGAAGATGACGGGAAAACACCACAGGAGCTGTAGTTTCACTCATCCTTTCGAGAGACCATTTTAATACCATCCCCTCGAACACTGGGCTCGAATCTTTTACCACCCTTTTGTCAGTGGACTCGGTCGGGACTTTGATTCGTCTGGCAGGGAGGATTACAAACCAACGGCCCTTTTCATGATGAAAAGAGTTCTGACAGTCTAGTCGTCAGTGATCGAGGCAGAAGAAGTGGCCGGCAACTTTTCAAACATGTTGACTGAGTGAGACGTCGTCCTCCTAGAAATTTGCTCACAATCTGGAAACATTGCTGTTGAGTAGGACATCATATGTAGGCTCCCCAGCGGTTGGACCAGATGCTGAATCAAGGCCCGGTGGTCTTTAACCGCTGATAAACCATCCCTAGAAGTAGAACATTTGATCTCGTATCTACGACAATGTTCCAGGTCTTGAGGCCTGGAGGCCGTCGTACGGCAATGCCATTGTTCGCAGACTGGAACATCGTTGTCGAGAAATTGAACGAAAACAAAGGAAAACAGATTGCGGCCCAAGGGCCGTTCCGCAATACAACGTCAAGCTATCTATTAAAAGGGCATCTTCAGCCCTGCTATCCTTGCAAATCTCAAGTTCTCGGTACTCAATTCCAGCCGACATTCGAAAAGTTCCTTGGCGGCAGAACACTAACAGGTATCGTACAAGGACCTCCATCCGTACAAATCCCTTCGACATATGCTCCCTCATCCTCCCGTGCCTACGACCATGGGTTTCCAACAAGCACAACGCCAAGACCCACCAACCATCCTCGACCGTCTCGCATTCCTACCGCTCGAACTCCAAAAGCACATCCTCTACGACTACCTCACGGTAAGTAGCAGCCCCTGCATCTTATCCCTCTTCGTCCCAGACTGGGCCGTCTGCGCCCGCGCCGCGGACCCCGTCAACGAGATCTACGACCTTCAGCGGATCGACGTCTACACCAAGGGCAGCGGCGGCGGGAGCGTTCGAGGTAAGTACGAGTCCGGGGTGCGGCACGGGGACGGGGATCATGCTTCCTTTCCGTTGATGAGGCGGGTAGACGGTTCCCACGAGCAGCATCCCCAACACGGCGCACTGCTGCTGGAGGAAGAGCTCGGCAGGAGATTCCCGGCCGCGATGGGCTGGGCTCTGCGCGACCTCGGACGGAACGGGCTAAGAGTCTTTGAGCAGGTTTGGCCGAGGGGGCACGACGACGGGGTAGGTAGGTGCATGGCTTCCGGGGCGCTCGTCTTTCGTGAAGCTGGTCGCGGTCACGGGCGGGATGCAGACTATTCTCGTGCTACAGGAGCAGCAGCCCCGGCCTCGGCAAAGTCGGATACGTCGTCGTTGTCGTTGCCCCGTCACCTAATGTTCAACAGCGTCCCCTCCGATCCCTGGCTCCGGCTCCGGCTGCGCCGCAATGCCGTGACCGACTTCCGATGCGAGATGGCCTTTGTCATCGAACGGGGACTTCCTGATGAGGAGTTTATTGCGGTGGACTGGACTGCCATGACGCGGCTCGAGACGCTCTTTTTAGATTTGCGGACGTATGCGAGCGGTAGTGGTGGCGGGTTCCTCCAAGACGCGATCCGGCGTGCCGCGGTGAAGATGGGGTGTCTTCGGCTTCGGTGTCTTGTCATCGCGGGGTTGAGGACGGGGGAGAGGTACGGTAGGTCACAAGTGTGTGAGAGGGAGACGGACGAGCAGGATGAGGTCGACGGGGAGGTGAATTGGGTCAAGGTCTTCGCACCGGCGTTGGGGGAGGGCGGGAGGCTGATGTTTATTGATCGGAGAGTTGTGGATGTTGATTGGGATGCGTGGAGGGTTCGGGCCGAGGGGGAAGGCTTGTTGGCTCGTCAGGGGAGGGAGGGTGAAGATGGGAGTTGTGATACTGGGGCTTATTTGAAGCATTTGGACAGAGTGATGGGTGGCCGGTGAGTAAGCCTCTCTTTTTTTCTGAAAAGTGGTTGCGTTACGTGACAGCCCATTGATAATGAAAGCTTTGAAGTCGTTGGCGATGTCCCTTGTAATTGCCCTTGTTCCCCCCTGAAGTCCACTATCGGCAGAACCAATCCCCCGCTTGCTGAACCTCGCACCATATAATAGATACATTACACTCCGCATTGTGCTTCATTGATGCGTGATATCATAATCATCCTTTCTATCTATCTAACGTCCCCCATACACCACGACGTGTGGTGGTTTTTCCTTCCCGCTGCATAAGACTACTTGGCTACGCCGTAATGTAGCACGCCTCAGTGTGAGTCACCGTCTGTTGCGGCAAGTTTCTGATGGAAACCATCAGGCCTCTCTCTAATGAAAACCACGCGCCGTCCAGCTGATCCATTCCTGTTGATAGAAAGCGGCGCAATTGTTGCAGCCTTGCTCTGGGGCTACGGTTCTCTCGAGCCTGTTTGAAAGGCTCACAAACCGGAGCCGAGGCTGGGATTCCAAGAATCACCTTCCCATCGAGAACGAGCTCTTCCGTTGCCTCTTTCTCGAATGATGGTCGTCGTTATCTACAAAGTTAGCGCTGACCTCAACTCTGAGATGAGAGGGAACTCACAATCAAGTCAATCTGTACCAGATGAAAATCCGTAATTGCAAGCCTGCTGTCCACAGGCTTGACATGCGTAGATCTCTCCGCCACCATTGCCATGGCGAAGTTGAACTCCAAGTCATCTCACACCTCCTCCCCTTCCCCCTCCTCAACCAAAACCCTCATCCTCTCCGCCTCCTCCTCGGAATCCCCCGCAGGCGGCTTCGTCGGCTTCAACCCCTCCATCTGCAAATACCGCACCAGCGTCTTGGTCGCGCACGTCACGCCCGCGTCGCGCTTCAGCTCGGCGTACGAGCAGGCCGGCTTCTCCTGCAGCACGCGCAGGAGCGTCTTGACGTCCCGATCAGACAGGATACGGGGGCGGCCCGGACGGGGCCGGTCGCGGCCTGCCTGCTGGAGGCGGTAGCGCGTGACGATGCCCTTGATGGAGGAGACGGGGACTTCCTCCTTGATGGAGATCTCTTTGAGGGACATGCCGAGCTCCGAGAGGACGGCGATGCGGGCGCGCTTTTCGGGGGAGTATTGCGGTTTGCGGGGCTTTGGTTCTGGGGCGGCGCGGCGAGGCATTGTGTGAGAGGTGTATGTGTTCGTTGAGGGAAAAGTGAAGTGATGTGAGGGTTAGACGATAGATGGTATGATTGCTGAGATTTTCGCCGAAGATCAGATGAGTTGAGGTGGGAATTAAAAGGGGGGATGATTATTACGTTGTGAGATGAGGCTGGAGGATGAGAAGGAGGATGAGATGTAGACGATAGCGGCGCATGTCGAAATTTTCGTTTTTTATTTTTTCTTTTGGTGAACCCCGGTGGCTGGGCCCACTTTCTCGGGGTGGATCAGGGGTGCTGCGTTCGGGGTAGTGGATACCTCAGGTTCCTCGACGAGGCGGGGGCAAGGGCCACCTCAGGTCTGGACAACTTATGGCTAGTGGGGGGTTTATCTCAATAGCTGGAGGTGCGCGTCTCTTTCTATCACCATATCGTTGGGAGTAAAGTAAACCGCAGTTCATCAAACTCCAGAAAATGGTGCGAGTGCCCCAGAATACTGGTTTTCCTCCCGGCTTTCGAGGGTGCCAAAGTAAGTACCTGGTATTATTCCGTGCCACCTGCAAGAGAAGGCACCCAGGGTGCCAAGCTTAGGTCTCGGACAGGAACAGCTCGGAGCAGCTCAGTGTGCTTAGATAAGCTAGCCATCGACCAATAGATTGAAATCTATCTCTCCGAGCATTCAACTTGAAGGCTACCTTGCGGCCAAAATCAAAGTCTGCGAAAGGTGGCTTTCCTCCATTATCGTGATCAGTCTCCAACATCTCCTTTCTTCTGTGTGTTTTCGTTTCTTTTCTCGGGGACAGAGCGTCATAAGAAATAGCAAGTCTGACAAGAAGAAAGTATGACCCCATCACGGACCGCCGATGATGCTACAATCAGCACCAGCCACATGCACTGTGCCACGCTGGAGTATCTTGCTCCTCTGGCCGTAACCTCGCGATCTTCAATTAGATCCAACCATGAGCAACGGGATAGTGAAATTTTCATATGATCTAGCGGTAAGAAGGAAGCCTCTTCTGGCGAAAGACACCTCGGCACACATGAAAAAGTGGTCCGCCGGCATCACTTACACGGGGTACAGGGATGTTGCAACAATCCAAGATCCCTCCCATGGGCTTGGGTGATGGTATCAAACAAGAGATATTCCCCGTATACCAAGGCGACGAGGGATGAGGCATATGGCATATGAATGAGTTGTAACATAATGCTGGTACTTAGATACACTCGGCACGACCAGCTATGCCTCGACCTTTGTTGACGAGACGTGAAGCGTAACTCATAATCCCTCGGAATCTGCTCCGGCTTCCATGCAATAAACCCGTTGCCTTCCCCGCGACGTATGTCACCTTCTCTCAATACTTTCTCCCCTGGTTAAGCAATAAGCCCCTCAAATCTCGCGAGACTCAAATCTTCTCCTCAGTCTTCTTCTTCGCAGCCTGCTCCGCCATAAACTTTTCATAATCCGCCTGCCTCTCGGGTGAAACCTTCATAAACGGAATATCGTCCTCCATCACCTTGCCCGCAACCCTCACCGGCTCCGC